GACCTCGAGCGTACGCCTTCCTTGCTCAATTGGAATCTCCGTCTGTCGACCCTCCAAAAATCATGTTAATTACCCCCCTCTTTGGTGGGAGCTCCTCCTTTTCTGGTGATCTCGCCCTCTTGCAAGGACTCTTACTTCTTTCTCGCATCCTGCTTGACCTCTCGCGATCTTTGTATATGAACTCCTTCAAGTGGCCTGCCTTTATCAACCTCTCAATCTCGTCTTTCAGGTGTCGGCAATCGTCAGTGTTGTGCCCGTAATCTTTGTGGAATCGACAATATAAGTTGCTTTTGGGCTTCATTGGTCCATCCTTCCTTGTCCGCGGCCATCTCACCACGTCGTCGTGGATCTCCCTTTCCATTACCTCTAGAATTCTTGCGTGGTGAGCTGACATCCTCTAGATCGTCCTTCACCCCTATCGGTTCACGGTGATCCTCTTCTTTCTCTTGTCGACTGGCTCTTCTTCTCTTTTTTGTCGTCTCGACCATCAGTTTGGGACATTTTCATGCTATGCAAGTAGTCGGCCTCTGCTTCTTCGACATTCATATACTTGGCACACCTCCCCAAAACGTCATCGAAACTCCTACCAGGTCGCTTGGCCAATGAGTTCTTACATAATCCTGGTAGAAGTCCTCTCGTCAGTCCTCCTGATTTGATTTCCTCTGTTGCCGTTGGGCACTCGACACACGCCTTTGTAAACCTCGCCACATACTCTCGCAATGACTCGCCCTTCTTCTGTTGCATGCTAATCAACGAGAGGTAAGACTTCTCTTGCACCCTTACACTTGCAAATTGGTTAAGAAAGCTCGAGCTGAAGCCATCCAAATCCTTAATCGACCCGGCGGGTAACTGGTGAAACCAGTTCTGGGCCGACCCTGTCAGAGTCGTTAAGAAAGCGCGACATTGCACTGGGTCGCTGTAGCGGTGGAGCACTGCCATATTTTCGAAACTCCTCAGATGTCGAGACGGGTCAGTGGATCCATCATACCATATGTTCAATTCCCTGAAGCCTTTCGGTAAGTCGGCTCTCAGGATCTGCAGCGAGAATGGATGTTCTTTTGCTCTTCTATTCTTCTTCCCCCCAACTCGAGCCTACAAGTCACGGACCTGGGCCAGCAAATGTTCCAACGTCTCGTCCCTCGCTTGCGGATTGATAGTTCGAATGGAGGATTCCTCCTCGTCCACCCTTCTGTTCTGCTGTACGTTTGACTGAGCTTGTTGTTCGACACGAGGTTGTTGCTCGACCCAAGGCGGGTACTCGACACGAGGCTTCTGCTCGACCTGCACCACCTGCTTCATCTGAGCAGCCACGGCTTCAGCGATCATCTTTTGCATTTCACTCCTCGTCACTGTCAAGGTCTGCTCCTCGACGCGGGGTTGGGTTTGCTCCGGTACCTCCTGTATCTGCTTTCCTTCGCATCGAGACATCTCCGTTGGTTCCTTCTCTCCATCTGGGTTAGGTTTTTGACTTATTCCTGCCTGGGTCAGCACTTGCAGCTTCACTCCAGTTGGAGTGACGGGAGTTTCTCCGTCCAACGTCAGTCCTGGCTGTGGAGGTCCTCCAAATGGTGGCATCCCCATCATCTGCATCATTGGGTGTTTGGGGGTGGAAAGTGGTGGTGGCCTCTTGTCCATCCACGTTCCCTTGAACTCCTCGTTCAGATTCCTCGGCAAACCTTCATTCTCCGCCATCAGCAAACAGATCGGAGCTGGGTGTGAAGCTCTTACTTCCTTCAAGAACTCCCCACAGACGGCGCCAATATGATGGGTCTACTTCCAGATCTAGAGTAAACCGGTGGATTTGAGCTCAGATCTGCTTGAACCGCTTCTGAATCGTTGCTAGACCGCGAGATACATGCAAAAACTCCTCCGGCGTAGAGCCTCCGATGCTCAAGTCAGTATGAGAGAGATGTAGTGAGGCTGCGCAGCAGCTATGGGGGAGTGTGGAGAATGAATGAAAGTTAGGGTTTGGGGTTACCTCACCTCCTTTATATAAGAGTGAATACTTACTTGAAGTACCCAGAATGCCCAAGTCGGTGGACCTAAAAGGTCCAAAATGCCCCAGTCGGTTTGTCTCCCCCTGTTGCTGAGTCATCAGAAGATTCCTTCTTATCCTTTGGAATATGTAGAGCTTTAAGTATGTTGCAAGTGTGATGAGTCGTCATCACATCTTTGATTTCCGAGATGTACAGAGTTGACCTCGAGAGCTAGGAGGTCGACTTGTGATCATATAAGGATTCGGAGGCTACGCTTGGTTAGTTCTCTCGAGTGGAAATCGTCTTCAGAGAATCGTCTTAGTGAAGTCGACTACTGGGAGTCGACTTAGAGTATCTGGATGCTCAGAAGCTATGCTCTTGCTGTTCTTCTTATACAGATGTCGACTAATGGAAGTCGACAGACTGAGGTCGACTTGTGGGAGTCGAATGGATAGATTTCTGGCCCTTCTCGGTCACTGTTTGTAGAGTCGACTTGATGGAAGTCGATTTCCGTATGTCGACAGGAACATATCGTCCTGCAGACGATTTGCGTGGTTACCCGGTCGAGTTAGGGGCTTTAGAACCGGTATATGATAATATGGCTATATCAGATGTCAAATCAAAGCTTATTATAACATGGTTAATTTGATATATTATATACACAAAAATTAATAATAAACAATAAAATAGTTATTTACTTCTAAATATATTTATACTTTTTGTTAGTAAATTTTTTACTTATAAAAGAAACATGGAGAAAAATGAAAGATAAGAAAAAATTTATGTCTTATAAACCACGCTAGAATAGAAAATAATATCAAAACTGAATTAGTGCTCTAAAAAATGATCATAAATGTCCCTTATAATTGTGGATACTTCATGCCTAGTTATTATTGGATCGGAAGTATATAGTAAAATTAATCCAAGTCAAATGATAAAGCATAAAAATTTGTCATATAGAATTTTGAGGTGCGAGTCTACCATTTAAGCTCATCACATTCAAAAATTATATACAGAGGATGTTAGCTCAAACCCATGTTAAAATAATGCGTTACTATTGAGTTCTTAAAATTTAGCTTTCTTCATCCTCTCGCCAAAAAAAGCCTTAGCCCCAAAATCCGTCGATCGCTTTCTTCATCCTCCGTCGAATCGTCTTCCTCGGCGACGGTGGGGCTCCGGCCTGTGGTCGCCCTTGACCGCTCGGTCCATCCCGGATGTCGTGCGCCTCAGATGTTGCTGCGGGGTCTACTGCGAGTGGTGGTCTGGCCTCGGTCGCCGGCGGATCTGCGATTGGTGGTGTTGTGCCTCTGGGTCTGTGATTGGTTGCAATTGGTGGTTTCCATTCGGTCGCCAACAGGCCCTCGATTGGTGGAGATCTGCCCCTCGATCCGAATTTGGTCTGCAATTGGTGGTTTCCCCTCGGTCGACTTCGCCTTCTCCTGTGGGGCTACCGGTGGGAAATTCGGACTCTGGTCGCCTACGGTCTGCGGTGGTGTTGTGAGGAGTGTGAGTCAGCGGATAGGGCGGGGCTCTAGAGGTTGCGATTTTTGCGTCGGGGAAGTTCGAGTTGTGGGATCGAGCCGCTCTCATCCCCTCTGTTCTCTGGTGTTGGGGACCGGAGGGCTCGACGCTTCCGAGCTTGGCTAGTGGTGTTAGACGAGTTGGAGTGCTTGTGTGGGGAGCTGCTCTCGTTTGTTCTCTCAGTTGGAGGCGGTCTGGTTCCGGAATAGGTTCGGGGCTCGGGTTTGGCTTCTGTATAGGCAATTCAGCAGATTCGGAAGCAATTCCTCAGGCTTGGGATCTTTCTTGGAGTCGACCGTTTCTCTGCTGGTTCGGCCCGTTCGTTTTGTTGGGGAAGGGCTTTGCCTGTTGTTTCTTAGTTATGTTTTCGTCTTTTTGTGTTGTTTATGCTTCTGTGGATCAGGACTCGTGTTTTTTGTTTGGACTGTTGGCCTCTGTATGGATTATCCCTTTGGAATCGTTTATATTCTCATGTTGGGAGCTTTGTAGTTTGTTAGGTGTTTGGTGTCGGTCGTTTCGTGAGTCGTGTCTTTGGTTTCTAGCGTTGCTAGTTGAAATTTAGGCGGTCTTCTGACCTATTCTCCCAGTTTATTCAGTTGTTGGTTGTTTTATTCAGCTAAGGGTTATATATTTGCACATTTGTGCGTTTCGATTTATAAAAATCTCTATCGTTCCGAAAAAAAAAGAACTATAAAAGAAAATATTATTTTGTTAAAAATGCTTTTTTTCAATTTATATAAGTCATGTAATTTTTAACCAAAAAATAATAAAAAATATTAAATGAAAATATTAAATATATTTTTATATTTTCATTATTTAAATTTTAATATTTTATTTCAGATATTTTGGTTAATTCAGATAACCCCAAATAAATCAATTAATTCAATTCAGTTTTACTTTGGTTTAAGACAAGGGTTTGACCGATTCATAATACACAACAGAGATCGAAACCGTGCATAATAGGGTTACATTTTATTTTGTAATTACAATTTACAACAATTATTTTTTTATTTTATTTATTTTTTTTTTTACCGAACCCAACGGATCAATTTGGAACGCAAAGCCATGAAGTCAAAGTTCAAACTCAGATGTGTTACTTTGGACCATTTTGCAAGCGATTTGGTTTCGACTAGGGTGAGACATTATTGACCTGACCGGATCAAATGGAGTTGAGTAGACAATTTTTTTTTTTTTTTTGGTTCTTGGCGCATCCAAAATAAATAAAATATGCAAGAAAAAAATTATTCATGTTTTATTGCAAGAGATTTCTTTTGTCATTCTTGAGTTGTTGAGATTATTATTATTATTTACCATTTCACATTGATATTTTAATTTACACATTCCGCATTTGCGCATCTGAGCCCAACAACCACAATACACACTACAAGACGAAACAAGAGTAAATTTGTACTTTCACTTATTATAAAAGTTAGTGGATTGTCTTTATTATTTTTTTAACAATAAATATATAACATTGACATATTTTATAAGCATACATGAAAATTTCTATATTTACATTTGTATTTGACAACACCATTATTATCTCTTATTCATACCTTAAATTAACCAATATACGCAACCGCCTACTATGAAGCTCAAAATCAAATAAGAAAAAAAAAAAAAAAAAAAAAAACAAAACAAAACAAAACAAAAAACAAAAAAAAACAAAAAAAACAAATGGGGTGAAGAAAAAAAGGGCACTCAAACCCAGGATATTGGAAGTTGGAAGTATACACACTCGATTAAAAAATTATAAATTATAATGTAGCCAAACAAGCCAATTACACCTAATCCATCATCATTGATCTTCAACTATGACATGTTTCTGGGGCGACGGGGCTCGAGATATTTGTCGAGCAGTCCTCTTCGCCTGCCAACCACCCTACCATTATTCATATCAGACTCTGCTTTACTCGTCAAACGCCCAACTCCTCCACTATTATGCTTCCTCTCATTCGGCAGTGGCTCAATCTCTTGCAAATCCGCTTCATCTACATATCTGTTCGGCCGTTTTGACTCTCCCATCCTCCTAAATGTAATAGATATCCTAGGAACAAAAAAAAAAGATAAAAAAAAAATCAAAATTTTGATTTGACAACCAGTAGTAATAGTAGTAATAATAGTAGTAGTAGTAGTAATAATACAACATTCATTTTTATAGTTGTACCTTCTGGAAGGGACTGCAGGCACACAATGTTTCGCCACATCAGCTCCATTGCCATTTATGACGAGAACAGAACTGTTTGGAAATTAGAACCATGCGGAAAATTAATTTTCTTGAATGTAAATGGATTCAGAGATGTTGTTAACTTCTATTTTACGCTATAAATTAAATTAATTATTAACAAACGTACCCAACTGGAAGGGGGATGGCATATGAACCGGAAAACTCGCCAGGACCAACAATCTTGAGGTTTGACCCAAACAGTATCTCACACTCGCTGAGAAACGAGACAGTGCAGAATGGCCTCACGAAATCATGATTATCGATATGTGGGGGTATACAGTCCCCCTCCTCATAGATGTTCACGATACAGCTGTCGGGCACACAAGATGGAGGCAAAACGTGCCACCTAATCAGCCTTTTAATCATCACCTTGAATAGATGGGGTAATGGATCGACCATTTCATTCCTGAGAATACCTGGCGGATTACCGTTTTTATCCTGCCATCAATAAGTATTACAAACATGTACATGACTGCTGTTTAAATCCTTCAATTCTGTAACAAGTTAGCGGCCGGACAGTGAAATATATATTGTTGTAATTTTCCGAAAGAAAAAAAAAAAATGCAACATTTCAAGGACTTACTGTGGCATAGTTGTAACAACAGCCAAATTGAAGAGTTATGCGTCCCTTTCCCCTCATCCACTTCGCGGGTGCAGAATATGTCCGCTCTGAAATCAAAGTTGCAGGAAATAATTTTAGTTTATGACAATGATTTTGGTAAAATAATAGTTTGGATTAGCTTTTACTTCAATAAAGAAACTCATTACTAATTCAATATATTCATCTTGCATATACAGTTAGGAAGGAAATGTTCTCATAGACAAATTAGAACATGAAACTACTGTTTCCATGGATTCAGTGAAGATTCAATACCAACGGGGAATTTTTGCATAAACCCTTTGATCATATGCATGGTTACTATTTCAGGACGCCTTTTTATTTTCTTAACCATTCATAAATGCAGAATCATATTTGTTATGAAAAAAAATCAAATTGACATATTCCTGTATCCATTTTCACACAAAATAGCATCTCAAACCTGTGTAGTTCAACTTTCAAACAATAAATAACCTAATGTCACTTTCTCCATCATTATGAACATGATGCATTCAAAACAACCTAGTGAGATCCTACCACACACCCTCAACCTACTTAAATGTTTGACAATTAGCGGATAGCTGATAGTTTATTCAATTAGCTAGTTGGCTAACTGCATTAGCAGTTTATCAATGACTAATAAAGATATTGTTACGAGTTATCAAACTATTTATTTTTGCTATGTGATGATTTAAAAAGAAAATGCAAAATACCATTGCATAACACAAAAATAGTAATTTTAAATCGATGTTGTATAAAACAATTCTTATTAAAAAATTATTTAGCATTATTTAAGTTTATGAGTTACTCTATGAATAACTTTTATAATTTATATATGAATTAGAATAAATATATCATACTTTTAGGAACATAAGAATATATAAATGACAAAAACTAGAATAAAAAATCTTCTACAATTTATAAATTCCCAAACACCAGAACAAAATGTCTGCAACTATGGTGCAATAAATAAAAAGATAAAAGAGCAATCAATTAAATTAAGTACAACAAAGTAACGATCGGGAGGAAAAAATAAATAAATAAATAAATAAGGAAAAAAGGAAGAGAAATAAATAAATAAATATACATGTTGATTGTTATTTTTTTACTTTTTATATTTATAAAATAGTTAGTTTCAATCATCTTTTCTCAAAATCCTCTCTTCTAAAAGACTTGTTTGTCAAACAAAACATATAGCATTTTTAGATTATATCAATCAAGTAGGACTCATCACTTAGAAAGCTTACAAATAAAATCCAAAAACAAAATTAATACCTTTCAATTTTCCACTTATTACATACATGATGAACTTTTGAGAATACGAACCCAACAAACCATGAATTACTTCATCACTTAAATCCACATCAAAATTCTCTTAACCAAATATATAGCACAGTTGAAACTTAAAGAAAAAATCGTTTATATTCTTTAAACACTCCATGTTCTCAATTTCATTTTTAAATGCTGAAAACTAAAAATTAGACCACGAAAACAGACCATATGATGAAGGACTTCCTTTCTTTCTTTCCTTATATTGACTGATTTGCTTTTCCTGGGGTTGGGGATGTAAGGGGAACATATAAGACAACGTGTATGTCCAAATGAGAGGTCAAATGCAATGGTACAGATATAATGCAACATCATTACATGATAGGCAAATTTATCAGCCAGATCTAGACTTTGCATACAACAAACCTAGCCATCCAAAATGTGAGTGAAGCAACAATATTTACATGTTGTCCTAATTAATCTAATCATTCTTCCTTATATTTATTTTCTCCATTGTTGTCCTCTTCAGTCACATGACAACACATGGTAATCTTCTAGGAACAAACAGGTTTTAAAAAACCTTCAGTACTCATCTAAAAGATTAAACACTCCTAGTATTAGTCATATTCTTTTAATGGGAAAAAAATGAGCTGACACCAAGTGAGTAATAAAGGTAGTTGTTCAATCACCAAAGGACTATTTCATATAACAATATCAACAAAGATAAAACAATAAATCTAGCAACTGCAACATCATCAGCAGCCATCTAGTCTGCCAATGTGGTATGCCGAGTATTTGCATATGGTTGTGTGCATGCAATTATAATCCAACAAGATTTTTAAATTTCATTCCAAAACAAGTAAAAATCCAAATGTCCAATTTTATCTATAACCACACAACAATCAAACCGGTAACCATATTTTTCAAATCGAAACAAATAATTAATTTTTCTATCAAAACAGGATTATGTAAATAGTAAAGATACTACAAACACAATATTGAACCCTCTAAGACTTTTAAAATGGAATAGCTTTCAATAGTATAAGTACATATAAATAGATTGAAGTGCATCATAAAACATCAGAAAAATATATGAAAAGCCTGGAAATGTTAAAATGAGACTGGCAAGTAAAACTATAATCAATGCTCTAAAGTAGTAGAGTACTGATACTTGATGGGTTTTCTTTTCCCTTTCTTCTTCTGGAGGAATTGCATTAAATAACGATCTGAAATTAAGGATAACCTATATCAAACAACATACTAGCTCTAGTTGAGTAAGCAAACTATAGTATTTATGTTCTAAAATTATAGTACTAGTATGAATTACACCAACAATCCAAACTAAAATCAAATTTGAATACACACACAAATTTTATTCAAAATTTCCCAACCAAGTTTGCTCTCAATTCGAAAGAGGATTTTCAAATAAATCGAAACAGGAATCCCAATTTAGTAGTTGATTAAAGTTCATAGCTTCCAGCTCAACTTATCAATGTGTTATTTGCAATAATTATAAATCTGGCTAGTGATCAAGAATGGTGAATTGGAATAAAACTAAGGGAAAATCAAGGAATGCCCACGTACAACATATCTTAGCACATTGTTATTAAGCGGTAAATGGCGGTTTGCCAAAAATCCGCCATAGCAGCCTATGGCGCTGCCATAACTGCCATCCTTCACAAATTTAGCATGGAGGATTGTCAAAAATCCGCCCCACAGTATTGTCATGGCCGCCATTTGATAACACTGCTTTAGCATCTCTACTAACTCTTAAACATGGAGTATTGCACAAATATGACGTTGACAAGGCACCAATTTCCAATCAAAAGCTACCAACATGGCAATGTCACATAAAAATGCATCAAGGAAGACGTAACTAGAGCTTCTATTGAAAAAATTTAACCTTTCTACCCCGTCACACAAGAACCATATATTCTAGGTTTAATCCAAATACTCATTTTCAGTTGATAAATATGCCCATGATAATTTCATACCATGCATTATATATCGATGCTTTTTACTCAAAAATCTAGTCATAAACATCCATGTCGAGTTGTTCACTAATCAAGCATTAACAAACAACCTGTGCGAAGCATATAGTGATCCATGACAGAAAAGCAAAATCATGAAAAGGGGGAAACAGAGAGGAATGAAAATTGAAGGCCAGAAAATGCAAATAATCAAAACTCACCTTTCAACTCCCCTTTCCTTCCCATCTCTTGTAGCTGTTCCACATATTCGACAATCCTCTTCTGTTCTGCAGCACTAAAAACACCTTTATGCAGCTCCAGCCCATCAAGTATGTTTGTAAATCTCCCATTGACTCTTTCCAAACATATGAAATCCTTTTTTCTCTGGACGCTGTTAAAGCGGATGTATTCTCTCTGATCCCTCGACAACGCCACTTTTAGCTTATTTGCTTCAGTCACAGATGTTTCCTCCGCAGAGCGATCATTCACATCAATAAGTCTACTGCTCACTTCATTTTCATCCTCTACAGCAAGTTCGTCTTCCAAAGCCATATCGGCCCAAGACTTCTTGCGAAGTGAGCTTGCAGATGGTGCTGAAAGGCTGAATGTTTCGCTCGTTGGTGATGCTTCAACAGATTTCTCTGGGATCCCTTCGGCCTCATCTTTCCAACTTCCCAATGAGTGAGTGTCCGTACAGTCGTTATTATCCTCACCTTCGTTCCTGCTTCCGGTCGAATGGGCACTACAGTAACCTTGATCTTCTTTGCATCCGTTCAGATGAATAGTGTTCGCAGTAGAAGCATCAAACCCACCTTCCACAATTCAGAGATGGAGACCTTGATTAAGTTATAATTAAGATATCGAATGCTTAAAAGAAGAAAAATTAAACAAAGAGTTCATCATTATTGTCTAAGTTCTATAATTCTTGGTAAAGCATAGAACTGTGCCAAAACTTCAGAATTTAACAAAAGATAAATCCCCTGAAAAGTTTTTTGTTTTCGGCAAAAAATATTGAAGAAGGGCTACTGGGTGCCCGAATGAACCCTAATAGAGAATTTTAATTTAGGGCACGAAAGACTGAAAATCTTCGTTGATTGAATTAAATTCCTCAAGCGAAACTGACTAAAACTATGAAAAAGTTCACATCTCCACAATCGTACAACCGTAAACTCAATCTCACATATATGTATTGTACACTAACTATATACGAGGGTCACTCCTGTGGTCTGAAAACCCCAAAAATTCAAAAGTAAATGAGCGAATGACATGTAAAAAAGCGAGATTTAGCTGCACACCAGTGTTGAGGGATCGGATGCCATCGGAGAGAGTTCGGGTGCAGGATTTGCAGAGACCGCGGGACAGAAAAGGCAGCCAATTGGACAAAAACTCGGCGGCGATCCGAACTTCGGCGTCATCGTAATTGAGGAGGAAAGGGTCCTCTGTCTTTCGAGGTTTTCTGTGGTCACCCATGCCGGAGGATGAGGCGATAATCGGCTATAGTGGGCGAGAGATAGAAAAGGGTTTGTGGCGTGAGACTTGTGAAACTTGATGAAAAAGACTACGATGTTATGAATTTATGACGTCGTTTGGTGCCTTCCTATATACAGCGTGTGAAGGAAAAACGACCAAAGCATTCTATTATATTATATACGATGGTTCTGAAAACCAAACCGGTCAAACTATTAGTTTAATGATTCACAAGTCGGACTAGTAGTTGGGCTGGTCGAAATATTTTAATTAATATATAATTTTTTTTATTTTTTTATATGTATAATGTATAACTATATATATTTTTATTATTAATATTATAGTGTATGATATTTTTCTAAACAATAACCCAATAATAGATACAACCGACAGTGTTGATTGATGTTTATAACTTTTTTTTTATTTCATGTTTTATATTTAAATTTTAATCTTTAAGTTATAAAATAGAGAGAATAAAACAACTCTATTTTCATTTTAAATCACATTTTAATTTTTTTATTATTGATTAAAAAATAAAAAATAAAAATAATATAAATAATAAAAAACAATAATTTGCTTATTTCTTTTTTAGTAAATTGGGAATAGATATAGCCCAATAGATAGTCCAATTTAAAAAATAGAGAAATTTACACCCCATACTATCATATATATTTTATATTACATATTTACACTCAATTAACATTTATTTGTAAAGATACAAAATTATACTAACATATTATTTCGCTACCCCTATGTTTGCCCGAGACTCATTATTATCCGTAGAATCATTTAGATCTTTCTCGTATAGACCTACACCTGTCCAATATCCACATGTCCTCTTCTAGACCAAGTCTCCATAAGTCGCCCTACATCACATAAATCCCCCGACCTACTGGGCGTAGCTCTATCCATTCTGCCTTAATTATTATATGGTCGCGCCATCACATGCCCGAGCTACTTCCATATTATACTATCTGAGCTACTTGTCGTACTATGTTGTTCGAGCTATCACGTGTCCAACAGTCCAAGCTATTGGCATACTATGTTGTCTGGGCTATTACATGTCCGAGCTACTTTTCATAACAAGACGTTCGAACTATCTTTGGCCGAGCTACTACATGTTTGAGTTACTAACATACTATACCACCCAAGCTATTTGAGACCCGCTCGCCCGAGCTAGCTAAGACCCACTAACCCGAGCTACTTTTGGAGCCGACTAACTTGAGCAGACTGAGTCGATTTATCCTAGCTATACTATGTACTATATCAATACCTAATACCAACATTATGAAAAATGTATTGGGCTTCAGCCCATATCATGGACTTTTTTTTAATTGAACCAAACAAATTAAAAGGGTTGATAGATTAACAAAATGCATTATCAAGCCAATATATAATATCAGAAATTTAAAAAAATGAAGCATGTTCATAATGTTCTGTACAAATATCATAACTTTTCCTAAATAATAAACTACCTCCGTTTTCTTTTTTAAATGTCATTTTGGCTTTATCAACAATTGACTAAATAAATGACGTTTTGAATCTTTTGTACATATTTTTCCATTATTACTCTTGTCTAGCTAATAAATACATTACGTCTTTTCATATTCACTATTTATCTTTTCTCCAAACATCCATCTCTATCCTCATTAATGAAGGTTATTATTGGCAAAAAAAATATTCTTAATTAGTGTGCAACTTCCCAAAACGATATCTATTAAAAAAATGAGGGAGTATTTGCCATTTTTATTGTACAGATCATTTATTTAGGTGCCTCGAAATCCTGCTAAGCTCAAATCTCGTTTCGAGATGGCACGTGTTGGTAATCGTATCAACTATTCCGAATAAAGAATCTTCTCCAACTCACGATTCGAGATGGCACGTTTTGATAATCGTATCAACTATACGAATAAAGAATCTTCTCCACCTCAAGATTATTAAGATTACTTTTCTGAATCTACAATTTTGTTTGCTAGTTTTACAAAAGGTATAAAGAAAATGTAAACGTCAGTTTTGAATGGTCCAGCTTGAATCGACTTGTGTAAGTTGTAAGCTCAAGATCACAAGAAATATAAGACATTAGCCTACTATACCATTAAATTATTTCTTCCTATATTCTTTCTTTAAAAGAAGCATTTAACATTCTGCTCGAGCAAGTCAACAAAAATTGCAAACATATAGCACATTACTTCACTAAAAAAAGGTATAAATATAGATATAACTATGAAGTGTTACTATAGACCATAAAATGTCACTATGAATGGGTTAACTTTTATGGCTATGCCAGTTCGGTTTCTTGAAGTTGGTAACAGTGGTCGAAATCGTAGTTTACAACTTATATGGGTACCTCTCGTATGTCAACTCTTCAAGAAGTGGCAAACAAGACGAATTACTATCTAATGCATGTCAAACTGCCAGTTTTCTTACATATATGCCGAATGCAATGCTCCATCTCTTCATCTGCAATAAAATGAGTCCAGGTCATCAAGAAGGAAAAATCTCCATATACACAGTTTCAGGACAATATAGGATTTATCGGAATATCCATTTGAGGAAACACAGCTTATACACACACACAAAAAAAAAAAAAAATCAAAAGCACATATGTGTGGGCAATAGTATTGAAATTCACTCAGATAAACTTACCTCCTTCCAACATAAGCTGCTAATTTAGACAAGTCTGGAATCCAAAAGGATAACTCAGAAGAACCAGTCACAAACATTAAGCTTCCAGGAGCCCATTTGATCACTGTCGGTTCAGGTTCAGTACTCATCCAACTGGCAACCTAACATAAAATCCAGGACGTATTAATTGTAAACAAGTAACATTTGAAATCGATTATTGGTGTTTGCTGAATGCACCTGAATTTTGGATCTGGATAAACAACTTAGTCGATTCAAAGGATGTTAACATAGTAGACTGATTATAACAGAGATGATGACAAGCATGTCTATGCACGTAATTTTTTGTCATATAATAACATACACATTTGCAAAACTAAATTGTATAGGCTATAGCGGTAATGTACACTAAACCTCACTGGATGGTGCAGAGTGAAGTTGTTTCCAACAGAAACCCACAAATATGACCGTCACTTGCACAAATTTGCGTTGCAGTTTATTTATAAACACAGCACAACGATTCTCTGTAGTCTGAAATTATCTGAAATTTCAATATTTGTGGGCATATCGCAAAACGAATTTTGAAAAGCCTTTCACTTGTTCTTGCTCTATTTGGCAAGTTATGAATCTCTGGTTTTATAAGAGTTCCAACGGGGAAAAGGAATCATGTCATGTAAGAACATCTGTCACAACAATAAATAGATGGCACCACACAAAAGAAAAAATGTTCATTGAAATAAACACTCGGCAATCATACCTCTTTGCCACTGCGAACACTCCAAGCATAGACACTACCATCCCCAGAACCTGTCACGTAAAGAAAAGCATAAACTACCAGAGCTGTTTCAGGAGTCTAGAAACGATAGCTTTACTATGAAACTCTTTATGTATCATTGATGAAACACACAAGGTTCACAAGGGATATTAAAAGATTCGCATGCCAAATATCTGCTAACTGCTAATACAAAAACACCCTAGTATTGTTAAATCACTTATTCAATTTGGCAATCCAGAATGCTATCTGTGCCATTCTGTTCACTACTATTCCAGAGTGTCTAGTTTCTATGGATTTCAGCGTTACATGGGCCCGGGCAAAAGGAAAAACAAAAAAGGAAAAGTATTTCTAAGCTGCAAGTGATAACTCCTTATGACATGTAAATACTTATGATAATGAAATTGAGCCATATAGATTTCAAATGAAAGTGATCACCAGTGTATGCACCAAGCAGGGAAAGAGCAGAAACCAAGAAGAGTTTGTCAAAATCTTGTACGCCTAAAAGTTATTACTCTGGAAAAATAACCACAAATTATTCCTTACATGAGTTTGGGTTCATGCTGAAGCTTTACAAGCTCAAATCAGTGTCATACCAACTCTTCTCAAGTAACATAAGCAAAGAAATTTGTGAAGAAATAAAAACTATCATAGATACAACAAGAAGAAAATGATTTCCGGAAGTCCAACATAATATAGTCAAACAAGACAAATGGTAACACTTATGCAAAGTTGGTAGATACCGCACCTGATATGACAAATGTTCCATCAGGGCTAAAAGACGCCTCCAAAGTAGAGTTATTTGAAACAGCCTTGACATTGAACGTCGACAACTTCAGCAAAGAAAAAAGGCAGTTGATTTATACTCCCTTCCAATGAAAGCTACAAATATATGCCTGAAGTTTTCTAGAAGAACGCAGAACAACTCACAAGAGTGCCACGGAAGGAATCAAGCATATGAATATGCCCATTTGATGTTGTTAAAAGCATAAGTCTTCCATCATTACTGAATTTCATACAATTTGCTTCCGAAATATCTCCCCCAAGAGAAAATATGTCAAAAGGACCCTTAAGAAGAGTTAACAAATCAGTGTAAACGAAAATTGCAAATTGTTGAGAGAACGCAACATTTTTATGCATACTCCAAATCAGTGTCATGAGAAATTCTGACCTTTTCATATCTGCGAGAATCAAACATTCTTATGTATCCTCCAAAACCAATAGCAAAGACAAGCCCCTGATCATCATAGGCTGCTGCTGGTCTCCCTTGAACACGTAGAAGACCCTAATTACCAAAAAAATAAAAAATAAAAATAAAAGGCTGTTAGTGGATATCTCAAAGAAAAATATTTTACACAAATTAAGAATAAACTACCTGACATTTCTCTGCTCGTTGGTCCCAAAGTAAAACCGTTCGATCAAGAGATCCAGAAATGAAACAATCTTTCCTAGGGCAGAGACTAAGGGAAACAACCCTGTAAACCCAGTATCAGGATATAGTATATTCACTGTACGATACAAAAAATAGAATACAATTTCCAGAAGAGAAATGCTCAAAAGGTTCAAAAGCCTTGCCTGTCGTGATGACCCTTGAAGTACCTCAGGTATTTGTTATCATGCAACGAAAGAAGTCGCAGTGATTCTGTTGTCATTACAAGGTACTTAGTAATCACAAATATTACTTTGAAATGCAGGCGCACAATATTTTGATATGCATACCATCCCATCCATTCTTTGAGGAGTAGATAACAGTTGTTGGGTGAGAGGTAAAGCTAACTAGATCGACCCCATATTTCTTGCTGTTGATTGTCTTTAGACATCTGAATGCAACAAATTCTCTTAGAATATTGTGCCACTTTACAACTACAGCTGGTCCAAGATGCATGGAACTAAAAGTATCACGAAACTTACACACAATAACAGAACTCAGTAAGTTATTAAAATTGGTGTAAGGGAAAAAAACAAATACAAAAAAAAGTAAACAAAAGGAAAGAACGAAAGAAAGAAAATAAAAGTAGAAACCTTTTGCTTTATCATAATATTCTAGAAACAGAGGTGAATATAGAGCCTTACTGATTCTAGGAAGAATGTTTTGATTATAATTCAACATAATTTGGAGGGTTATCTAGCTATAACGATTTACTCAATTCTCATAGTTATGTATGTATTAGAGTCCTTTTATTTAGTTATTTTAAAGGTCGTGTAAGGGCCTAAATCTTTCATTACCAATATCATAATCATTTTGGTCGTTTTAGTCCTATTGGGGTTAGTAATAGCTACTTTCCTTATATCAACAAGTGCCACAAATTTTGTCAATCCTATTGGGGTTAGGAATAGCTATATTCCAAATCCAAAAGGGTTCAGCACGTGTGAGTACTCTTAGGGTTCGGCCTAGCTATTTTCCTTATATTCTTGATTCTTTAATCATATTTTCCGTATGTCCATTTTGCTGATGGATTGTATGCACACTTATTACTACGGTTCGCAGCACGGAAGCCACATAAAGTATTACTAGTCAAATTTAACTGAATATTTAGATCATAGATGCTGAAATATGAAACTACGAACTTATCAAGAAATAGGTAGAACCAACAGAATTGTACTATTTGTTATTAAGAGTACAATAGAAGAACAGGGTTTTACATGATATACATCGATAGTATGACAATTGAGAACAAAGGGCATGTTGCATGCGTCGCTAAACTGAATACTATTACAGTCTGATCAGTATTTAATTTTGGAATGACGAGGAAGTAACATGTTTCTATTGTCCCGGTATCCTATTATCAACTTGTTAGACTACTCTGTTCGGAGATCAGAAAAGCAAAATTTTTCCAGCATAATCTATAAAGTTGAACTACCAATAATTGTAAATTTAAAGAGGAAGGAAACATGAAGATGCTTACGTTGCACTAGCAATGTCATAAAGGCGTATGGACTCATCATCACTAGCAGTCACCAAATAATTTGATGTCTTATGGAAATCCATCGAGCTAATTCTACCATTCTGAAGAAGGGGAACCATATGTCAGAATGTAGCTGCATAAACTCCACCTAGTGTATCATCTCCAAAGCAACTTCCATTTTCTTTTTTCCTTTTTTTGTTGCATAAGTGCAAAAAGAAGATGAGCTCATATGAGAACATATTTTTACAAGGAAACCCCAATAACAAGACAAATGTGAGACAAAATTTGGGTTGAAGATATCTTCAGACGAGAAGATTTCTGGAAATTAATCAACATTATACCCTTTCTAAAGGTCAGTATAAATAATGTCTTAACTCCACATCAGGCCGCCAAGAAGGACATACTGTAAGAAAATTATATGAAGCCATACATAAACCGATAGCAGATGTATATGGTCAAGCTCCAACGGATACTTCACCTGATTTTCCTTCTCGCCATATTATTAAATATAAATAAAAATAAAAATCAAGGATACATATCCCAAATGAGATAACGGGTGTATGTACATATCTGATATTACCAATTTAGTGTCATGATTTGAGTAGAAATGACATAAGTTTTACAGGAAGCTTCTTAGTACCACAAGCCAACATTAAGTACCCATTTGACCACTCACCTATGTTCCCCACCAACTTGTCCAAACAGCAGAATAATAAATGTCAAATAACATGTGAAATTTTCTCCAACTAGAGAATTTGTACAACAAGTTCCTTCAACCTCAACATGTTTTATACAATAAACTTTTTCCCCTTCTATGGATAATTTTGTTTTAAAATTTTTCTAGTGTGCAGTGTGCTACATCTAATCCACTCAGAGGACTTAAGGTTTAGGGTGGAAATGAAGAGAAAACTGACACGTATAGAAAAAGAATTATGCTTATTATTCGAAGCAAGAAAAATATTTCCCCTATCATATTTTCCTCCCTAAACGATATGAAACAAACATAGCCTCAATCTTTCCAGTAAAAACTTGTCAGATTGTTCTAGTACAAAAATTTCAATCATCCGGATCAATTAATTAAGGATTAATTTCAACTGAAAGGAGGAGCTAGCCACTAATGTATGTTCAATAAACAGGGACGGACAATTAACCGAAAACATAACCGGCTACATTTTCCGGGTAAACACCAAAACAGGGCAAGTTAATTAGTGAAAAGGAAAAACGTACGTAATCACGAAAGGCCATTCCTACTTCCATGCTCTGCAGTATTTCTTCAGTGAGTTCTAATGAAACTCTGTCTTCCCTCTCTGATTGTCCTCCTTAAAAAAAAATGGCAAATGAATAAAAACCCCAAATTAGCACCGTCTCAAACAGCTGCTAATTGCGACATACATACACACAATCGATAAAAAACTAGTCAAACCCATAATGAACAGAAGATCATAGGGCAGAATTTTCAAATAAATATGCTACTTTTACTAACCCGCCATTGAATCTTCTTCAGGTTCTCGAACCCAGAAACAAAGAACGTCGAGTCCGAGCGCCACGAGGAGAGGAGTTGAGCTCGAGTGAGTCGAATTTCGTTTTGGGCACCAAAACGTCTGTCTGTTGAGTGATATCGTTTTGGATTCAGCCTATGAATTCGGACTCTGGTGATAATATAAGGGTGATTTATTTAAAAAAGAAAAATTGAAAAATAAGTGGACCAAAAAAAAAAAAAAAAAAGTGGGACCAAATAAAAACCACGTATTCACAAAATACGTTTTCCTAATTTTAATTTTTAGTGAAAAACGTATTTCTTGAATACGTTTTCAAATTAAATTTGTTAAGTTTTTTAAACAACATATTGCCGAAAATGTATATCCAATTTTAATTGTAAACCGTATTTACAAAATACGTTTTTAAGAAAAAATTTAATTTATAAAACGTATTTAATTAATACAATTTTTAATATTAATTTANAAAAAAAAAAACTTTTAACAATCAATCGATTCGGAGAAGAGGTTAGTTGTTATTTTAATGTAATGTAATTACATTTTTGTTTTTTATGAATGTGTAAGAAATATTTGTTGATTTTGATGAGTATTGTTTAGAAAAGATTTATTGTTGATTTAATAGTTGTGTTACATGATTATACATTGTTCTTGGATGATGGGTTTCGGTGTATGTTGAGAATTTTTGCAAAAATTGGATGATTTGTATTGTATTGTTGGATTATGAGAATTAGGGTTTTGGAGAGTTATTTTATAAAAGAATTGGTGATTTGTTTTTGTTATTGTAGTATTAATTGGAAATATTTATCTTGATTTGAGTAAAAGAATAATTGATTTTTTTGGAAAATTATGTTGTTGTAATTGGGAAGAATTGAAAGTGTATTATATGTTATTGATGAATTTTATTCTTTTGTTGTGGGAATGATAAAAGAATAATTGAATTTTTTGGGTGTTGGGTTAGAAAGTATGTGTTGTTGTAATTGGGAAGAATTGTTTTTTGCAACAGGTATAAATGGCGTCTACCGGACCATACTTTCTTAATGTGTATTGGAATCTTCCCAAGGAGTTGTTATATGATTTTTCAGATTTTAAAAACTCTCCGGATGGTTCATTTAGCATTGGGGAGAAGATATCATTTAAACAATTGGTAGATATTCTTTATGAAAATTTTGGGTTTCATCGAGATGGTTGGATAATTGAGAAGATTAGTTTACTGACTAACCAACGCGATGGTTCGTGGAATATTGGAAACCTGAATACTGATAGTGCTCTTGAATGGATATATTATTTCACTCCTTTCTCCTATGTGTATTTGCATTTAGAGTTGAAGCGGGTTACGCAGGCACCTACAGAGGTTACGCAGTTTGAGGATGTTGCCCCTTTTTACGGGGGAGTGGCTGATGTTGAGGGTACGTCCACTTCGCATGTTCGTAATTTTGGCGAAGGGACAAGTTCAACAGTTAGAGAATGCGATAATGAGGGTGATGATGATTTCGTTCACGGTGAAGACGATTTCACAGATGATACCTCGAAAACGGAATCAGATAGATCAATAAACGAGGAGAGTGAACCATAATTTATTGAAGAACACCCATTTCTTAGTAGCGGTCAGCACGTGTATCGCGAGATGGGTGAGTGGAACCCGTCGTGTGTAGACCGGGATGAGCATGCTCTGCTACGTTGGAATGGAAATATTGAGACTATCTGTTTGGGTACTGTTTTCCGGTCCAAGGAAGAAGCACAGATGGGTATCATGAGTTGGAACGTTAGCAGGTTGAGGGAGGTTAAGACAACCTATTCGAATAAGAAATCATTCAAGGTGGTGTGCACGTCTAACGAAGGTGAACCTTGTCCGTGGAGGGCTCGGGTGACGCACTGCACACGGGTTCATGAACTGTGGGAAGTAACAGAATGGACTGAGAGGCACAGTTATATGCAAGAACTCGAAAAAAATGACCACAAAAATGTAACCGCCACAATGATCTCAAATCTTGTCATGACCAAGATTCAAAAGAAACCCGACTACAGTGTTACCCTGATCCAGGAGAATGTTAAAAAATGTTGGAAAGTCGATGTGAGCTACAAGAAGGCATGGCACGGGAGGAAAAAGGCCATCGATCGTTTGTATGGCACTTGAGAATCGAACTTCGCACAACTCCCTCAGTAAGAAAAAATTTATTAAAAATGTACGTGTTATTTGTCAATATGTTTATGTATTGACGATTGCGTTTTGTAACGTGCAGGTTTTTTGCGGTGCTTCAAAGAACAAATCCCACTACGGTTGTAGAGTGGGAATGGCAAAGTGGGGAAATGGCGTCCCACTATCAGCACAGAGAATTCAAATTTGTTTTCTGGCGTTTGGTCCCGCCATTCAGACCTTCCAGAGATGCCCGCCGGTAATTAGCATGGACGACACACATTTGCGTGGCTCGTACAAGGGGAAGTTGCTTGTGGCCATTGCGCAGACTGCGAATAAGCGGCTATTGCCAATCGCCTATGCGATTGTGGATGAAGAGAGCCAGGAAAGCTGGTCATTTTTCCTGACAAATCTCCAGCAACATGTTGTCGGCGACAGACAGATATGCTTTCTTTCGGACAGGGATGCGGGCTTACAGAGTGCCGTGGAATCATTGGAAGCTTGGCAAGAACCCGCTGCATATCACCGGATTTGTCTTCGACACCTTCGGAACAACGTGGTTACTAGGTTCAGGAATAACAAAATCCGAAATTGGTGTTGGGAGTTGGGTTCACAGGTTTCAGAGTAAAAATTTGAACAGATACGATCGCGGCTTTCGGATTTTAATCCGGACGCATACGATTACCTGTTCAGAATTCCTCTAGACAAGTGGACCCTGTTTGGTGAATGTGGACGTAGATGGGGTACTTTGACAACCAACATGTCCGAGAGTTACAACAATGTCCTGAAAGGTGTTAGGTTCTTGCCCTGCCGAGCTTTGGTACACGCCACATTCATGAAAACTCTGGACTTGTTTGAGCATGAACAAAAGAAGTCCACGAGATGCAGTAATGCCATTGGTAGTGCCCACTATGCCGCTTATTGCATTGGAGACTACGCCGCAACTCATAAGGTGCGATGTTCGAACGCGGAGAGATCCATGTACAAGGTGACAACCGGTCTATGGGCTGATGGTAGAGGGGACAAAAGGTATATGGTTTATTTATTTATTGTATAATTTTTATTTTTTATTTTGGTTCATTAAAATTTTTAGTTGTTTATAAATATAATTAAATATGGAAAAACAGGTATAAGGTTTCATACAATCGGATGCATTGTAGTTGTCTGAAGTGGCAGACAGACAAGAAACCATGCTCTCATGCTATAGTTGTGTGTCGTCAAATAAAAGGTCAACCAAAGTTCTTGTACGATCCCCACTTTTGGACGGAGAACTGGGTGGCTCAATTTTCTGATTGGAATTTTGCTCCGATTGGTGATCCAGACACATGGCCGCTAGTCGGATGGAACTTATACCCCATTGGGAGAGGATCATCACGAAGGCTGGACCCGGCCGCGCGCAAACGAAGCGTCATCGAATGCAAATGGATCGTCGGGCACGCCGCCGGACTGATAGAGAACAGTGTAGTAGATGTGGTAATCCACATCATTTTGTGGATGACTGTCCGTCCTCGCATCATCGCACTGATAGATCTAGATTCCGTGATGAGTGGGGAAACTAGATTATTAATGTTTATTTTTTTTATGTTGGACTATTTTTTTTTATTGTTTACTTTGATTTGTTGGACTATGTTTGGATGATATATTTTTGTTATGTTGGACTGTATATGAGTTGATTTGTTTGGTTTTGTGTATTTTGGTGTAGTTGGTTGTTCAGGTTTTAAATGGCGAAACAATAGAAAGAGAGAGTTTTTTGTTTCCATATAACAGTTAAAAACGTATTTACTAAATACATTTTTGAAACAATAAAAATTACAAAACGTATTCATGTAATACATTTTCTAAAAAAGAATAATAAAAATTATGAACCGTATTCATGTAATACGTTTTCTAAAAAAAGAATAATAAAAATTACGTATTTAACAAATAATATATAGTATATAGTATATAACATATATATGTTATATAGTATATAACATATAGTATCTAATATATAGTATATAACATATAGTATATAATATGTAGTATATAATATAATATGTATTATATAACATATAGTATATAATATATAACATATAGTATATAACATATACTATATAATATATAACATATAGTTTATAACATATAGTAATATAACATATAATATATAACATATAGTATATAATATGTAGTATATATTATATGTTATATAGTATNTCGCGCTCGCCGGAGGTCGGGTCGGTGAACTTCCACTGTGAACGGTGGACGTCGGTCGGCCATCTCTGATTGAAATTTTTTATGTATCATATTGAAGCTATTCTCGTCCTCGTTCACCTCCTACAATTTCCGGCGAAAATTCCACATGTAAGGCTGTTAATTGCTTTAGTCAAATTTTTAGTTCTATAAAATTCCAGTCAAAATCCTAAATTTTCCGGCGATTCACGGCGACCCACCGAAATCCGAAGATACCTCTGAATTCCTCATACCTTCCTGCACGCAAAGGCGTTCACTATCTCCAGAACTGATAATTTTTTAAGCAACCCGTTTTTCCGGCGGGTATCGAAAAGAACAAACCGGAGGGCCGGTGGAGGCGGTGCTGCTGGTTGAAGGCTGAACGTGGATTTATTGGCCGAGGATGGTGCTCGAGCGGCGGCAAAACGGTGGTCGGCTGAAGAGAACTCAATGCGATTGACGACGGGAAATTGCAGGAACTAGGAAGTTGCTTCCTTGATTAACTTTTTTGTTTTTTTATTCTTTTATTAAGTGTTGTGTTCCACTTTCCACGTCTACACATTTTGTTTTGTTTTTTTTTTAATTTTAATTTTTTAGTTTTAATTTTTTGGTCCACATGGGCATAATTACTTCCACATGGAATAATAAGATTATTAAATGAAAGTGAAGTCGACACGTCAGATCAAAAAATGCCACGTCAAATTTTTATCCCGGGGCCAGATAAAATAGGACCATAAATGATGAAATTGACAAGTTATAGGACCTAAATTGAAAGTGGTCAATATAGGACTGGTTT